TGGAGAGAGACATCCTCTTCTTTTCTTTCGTTTCTGCTGGTGATTCTCTTTGTGTCAATGCACTCCAGTGGCTGGTGGACCATTTGCGTGGTGGTTATGATCTCTAGCCACTTTTGCAGCAGCTGTGGTTACTGTGGTAGCTGTGGTGGGCCACCCACATGGAGGTGATGTTTTGGCATGCTCCTTGGCGCTGGAGTCCCTGTTTGTGAGTGGGATCTGGTCCCCGGCTCTATGCCTCAGGATTCTGGGCAGGCCCCGAGGTGCTGGTAGTGTGCCTGGTTGTGGGTGGGAGATGTCCAGTCCCCAGGCTCCATGCCCTGGGCCCCTAGGTGGGGCCCTGAGGTGCTGGTGGTGTGAATGATTGTGGCAGGGGGTCCGGTCCCTGGTTCCATGCCTCAGGTCCCCTGGTGGGCCCCGAGGTGTTGGTGGTGTGCCTGGGCTAGAACTAATTTTTTATCCTTTGCTTACTTCTACAATGGGGTAACTTCCTGTGGGAACCAGTACTTAATATATGTGGTTGAGCTAAATTGCTGCTTTGCTGTTGTTTCACTAGAGAAGGCTTTTTATGCAGTTCAGGGTTTAAAGGCTGACCTTATAGGTACTTTCGGCTCTTCAGAGATCCAGTATACCTCAGTATAGAAACTCTGATCTGGGCCTGAGTTTTTTCATCAAACTGCACCCCATCCAATTCTGCATTCCCAACCAGTCTCCTCTGAGTGGTTGTGCACTGATTGGGGGATGGATTGGCTGTCCTTGCTGTGTCCCAGTGTTTTCCTGGTGGGCCTGTCTCCCCCACTGCCTGTGCTCCAGTCACTTCCCATGGGACGGGCCCTGTGCCAGTCCCTTATGATGACTCACTGGCCTCTGAATGGCTCCCATTTTTCAGCTGTTCTGGCTCCTCACTCCTGCGTGGGTCCACGGAAACGCTAGTAGTGGTCTTGCTGTCCCGGGAGCCACCATGGCCCTATTCTCCCCCACCGCCTCCAAGCAACTCCATCTGAAGGGCACAGCTGCAGCTTCTGCTGGCTCCTGCTCCATGCGCTCAGCAGCTCCAGCCTTAAAGTGGTCGCAGCCTGAAACACTCCAAGCAGTTTTTTCTTTCTCTCCTCATGGTTTCTCCTGCCTTCATGAACTCCATAGGACTTCCTTTCTCTTCCCCTGAGCTCCAGTGGCCCCAGCTTGGCTGTTGTTACATTTTCATAGTTGTAAATTGGTTGATTTGTGGGAGAGAGTGACTCTGGGGACTCTATTCTGCCATCTTGACCAGAACTCCTAGATTTTCTTAGAAGGTTTAAGTAGATATGAATATATATTTTTAAATTTATTTTAATTTATCAATATACAATGTAGTTGAATTTTGTGTCCCTTTACCAATTCCTCCTTTTCCCCCTTTCTCCCCACTCCCCCACATCAACATTATATCTGTTCACTTGTCTTAACAAGTTCAAGGAATTGTTGTGATTGTTGTGTCTTCTCCCCCCACAATTCATTTGTTTCTGTATAAATTAATTAATTTATTTTTAGCTCCCATGAATAAGTGAGAACATGCAGTATATCTCTTTCTGTGCCTGGCTTATTTCACTTAATACAATTTTCTCTAAGTCCATCCATGTTACTGCAGATGGTAGTATTTCATTTTTTTTAATAGCAGAATTGTAGTCCATTGTGTGGATATACCACTTTTTCCTTATACACTTATCTGATGATGGACATTTGGGCTGGTTCCAACTCTTGGCTATTGTAAGTAGTGTTGCAATAAACATTGGANAGGTCTAGTTTCATTCTCCTACATATGAATATTCAGTTTTCCCAGCACCATTTGCTGAAGAAGCAGTCTCTTCCCCATATTATCCTGAATGGTGAAAAGTTAAAAGCTTTTGCCTTAAGAACAGGAACAAGACAGAGATGCTCAGTCTCTTCTCTCCTACTCAGTGTTGGAATTACTAGCCAGAGCAGTCAAAGAAGAGAAGGAAATAAAGGGCATTCAGATTGGAAAAGATGAAATCAAACTGTCCCTGTTTGCAGATGATATGATCCTATATATAGAACAGCCTAAAGACTCTACAAAAAACTCTTAGAGTTGATAAATTACTTCAGCAAAGTTACAGGATACAAAATCAACACACAAAAATCAGTAGCATTTCTATACTAGCAGAAAAAGAAATCAAGATAGCTAGCATATTTACAATAGTCACCATAAAAATAAAATACCTGAGAATAAAGTTAACCAAGGAGTGAAAATCTCTATGATGAGGACTACAAACCACTGTTTTGAGAAATTAAAGAGAACACAAGAAGATAGAAAGATATTCCATGCTTTTGCATTAGAAGAATTAACATTGTGAAACTGTCCATACTATCCAAAGTGATCTACAGATTCAATGCAATCCCCACCAAAATTCCAATGACATTTTTCTCAGAAATGGAAAAAGCAATCTTAACATTCATATGGAATAACAAAAGACCACAAATAGCCAAAGCAATCCTGAGCAAAAAAAAAAAAAAAAAAAAAAAAAGTAAATAAAGCTGGAGGCATAATACTACCTGAGTTTAAACTATACTACAGAGCAATAGTAACCAAA